GTCAAGACATTCTTTTAGCTGAGGCTGAGAAAAAAATGTGATTATTTGTTATTTCCTTAGAAATGATGCAGATTTGGGAACGTGGAGCTATGCAAATGTGAACAGCAATTCCTGCTATTCCTTACTATTGGCCATACTAACTAAGCCAGATGGGAGTTTGTAGTCCATCAACGTATTTGCCACCCTTGCATTCGGAGAGATCACACCTGTTTGCAAAGGGAGACTGGATAAATTGTTGCTTAGCAGCTGATTGTCTTCTAGAGCTTTTTTTAGTTCTCTGCTTTTGCAGTAACTTGTGGTGGCACTATTTCTCTAGTCTTGGAAAAGGAGATGGTCAATTAAAAATGGCAGGTTTCAATGGGTCAGCTAGCTCTTTGTGGAAGGTTGCACACTTTTGCTGAATACCTACATTTTGAGTGATGTGTGGCATTTGTGCAGCAAAATCCAAGTGCAGTGATGTTACAAATGTGCCATTTGGGGGTGAACATGTTCATTGAACAGCAAAGGACCCAAATTAAACATGTCACTTAAGCAGCAGAGGACTAGAATCAAGTGCAAGTGACCCTACATAATCTGATGGGAAAGTTTGCATTGTCAGGTTATACAACACTTGCTTTCTGCCCAGCATCACTAAGCTCTAAAATGAGAGTGCCGTTTTTTCTACATGATAGCAGCAATGGTTCAGTCCAAGGGATAATTAGAGGAAGGGTAGAATGAACCAACAGAATTTAAAGAAAATCACTTGTCTGCTCCTGTTAATGACTGGTAAGGATACTGCTGTAGGTGTATGTGTAACATGTACTATGTGTCACTGGGAAGTTAGAGGTCATAATGGAATATTAAATGACATTTAATTACAGAGCTAGGGCTCAGTGTCAGCCTGTAAGCCAGGAAGGGAGGTTATTATGAGCAGATTGTTTAAAAGAAGTAGTGTGATGCAATCTTAAACTTTAAATGACATTACATTTCTGTTCAATAGATTCTAGCCAGCAGTGACAGTAAAATTAAAATAGAAGGTGCCTGTCTCTGTATTTAAGCAGGATTAATATAGTACAGATATGTTTTCTCCAGAATTAAGTCCAGTGGGTGTGCTGAAGCAAGTGTATATTAATAGTACTGTAGTATACTGTATTCATGGAGGAGCTATTGCAGTGAGATTGCAAATATGCATTAAAAGGACAGCCATATTGAAGAGGGCCATGACCATGTTTCTGGGGGAATCTGAGAGCTATACTGTAATTGACAAAAGTATGTTTTCCAAGCTCTGATCAGACACAATCTTTTTGCATGTTGCTTTGATATGAAAAGGTTTCCTTCTCTTAAGTATAGTGTGTGTTTGTTTGTTTTTTGAAAACTTGGAACCACACTCCTCCCTTATGAAGCTGGTTGGTGGTCATTAGGTCTTGTTGGAACAAGGCCTGTAAGAAATGAATTACAGTGGTGCCTCGCTTAGCGATGTTAATCCGTGCAGAAAAAAAATCGCTGCTAAGCGATAACATCGCTAAGCGAAAATAAAAAGCCCATAGAAACGCATTAAAATGCGATTAATGCATTCCTATGGGCTAAAAACTCACCTTTAAGCGAAGATCCTCCATAGCGCCGCCATTTTTGGTGCCTCTAAAGCGAGGTATCCGTGCCTGAAAATAGCAGGCGGCCATTTTGTTTACCCGGTGGCCATTTTGAAACCACCGATCAGCTGGCTGAAAATGGGGGCTTTGCGACGATCGCTTCCCTGTGATCATCGCAAAGTGAATTTCCCCCATAGGAACCATCGCAAAGCGATTGCTTTTGCGATGGCAAAAAGTCCATCGCAAAGCGATTTCGTCGCTCTACAGAGCGATCGCTATGCAAGGCACCATTGTACTGTAATGGCAAATACAAGCTTCTGGGCTCTTTCCTCCATAAATAATTTTGCAATAAGGAGGGTTTGCAAGAGCAATATGGGATGTGGTGGCACTGCGGGTCAAACTGCAGAAGCCTCTGTGCTGCAAGGTCAGAAGACCAGCAGTCATAAGATTGAATCCACGCGACAGAGTGAACTCCCATCACTTGTCCCAGCTCCTGCCATCTTAGCAGTTCGAAAGTATGTAAATGTGAATAGATAAATAGGTACCACCTCAGTGGGAAGGTAATGGTGTTCTGTGTCTAGTCGTGCTGGCCACTGGACCTGGACTTAAACTTCCAATTAGGAACAAAACTCTTTGGATCTCATATCACTCAGCCCAAAATGACCCCCAATATTGTGATGGAGATAAAAGGAGAATGTACTATATTTGAATACTTGAATTAATTGGAAGAAAATTGGAAATCTGAAGTAACAAGTAAATTAAGCACTTCGTGTGCTACTATGCATCCTTTTCACATATTGTGCACACTTGCACCCATATGTACATACTTATGTGATTGGCATGGGATATCTTAGATCTTGAACCCAGAGTAGACAATGGATATATTAAACTGTATACATATATCAAACAGGACATATGGAACAGAACACAAATCAAAACTCAGATAAATAGAATATATGCTTCCTTTGTTAATTCACAGTATTGATACACTGGAGAACTATTGATCAAACAGGCTCCATCCTATTTTGGACCATCAGTTCATTTGGAGAATAGTGCAGGAATAAAACAGGAAGATTAAATGAGGAAACAGAACAAAGACTGTGAAATTTATGTGCACAGCATGTGGGAGCATGCAAGCAAAATTGAGTGGTACTCAGGAGGTTTAGTGACAAGCAGACAATTGGTTATATTTAGATGACATAAGGTTTAGCAACAGTGCAGATAGGAAGAGAACCATTGATTGAGCAGAAGACAGGAACTGAGATGAAAATGTAGACATTGTCAGTTCCGGAACTTGGGGGACAGGGCAGAGGACTTTCTTTTGGGGAGGGGGAATACGTCTTGATTCCAAAAGCCTTCCTCGGTGCCTGTCTACTGGGACTGATGCCCTGCATGTGATAGAGCTGTTCAAAGCTAAACAGAGCCTGAATAGTCACAACCTGGAGTGGCGTGTTTCCTCAAGCCCCTCACTACACTAAGAGTAAAACAATAAAAGATAAGAGGCTGAAAGGGGAGGAGGACAGTATGCAAAGTGAATTTGGAGTTAGTTTAGCACTGGGCTAAGTACAGACCTTGACATCTGGTTATCCTTCTATGTTTACTTGTAGCTTATGTTACAGTTTTGTGTTGGTTTTATAGGATCAACGCAACTGCATAGCCCACAATTAATCTGGGCCCTTGTTAGCAGCCTGCTCCCCCCAAAAAACTTTCACTATTGTGTTTATGCCAAACCTATGCTAGGATTTACAAGAAGATGTTAACTGGGCCATTGCCCCCTTTACACAGTTTCAGTAATTCATGGTTTTTACTGTAAAATATTGGCATACATTTGGAGTAAAAAAAAAAGCAAAATTCAGTTTTTCAGGTGTCAACTAAACCCCCCAAATTGATCTGTCAATTATAAATTGAGCTGGTAATATGAAATTTGGGGTTTGTATTATAACCCCAACAATATGATAAAATGTGGGATTTGAGGGGATATCAGATTTTGAGGTTGATCGTTAGCAAGACTGTGGTTTAAACAAAGAGTCTGAGGGTGCCCTAAAGATAAACAAGTGCTGTTTGGCATAAACTTTTATGGAACTTCACTCCTCTCATCAGATGAATGGGGGGGGGTCTGTAAGCAAGACACAGGCTGGAGTGATGTGGGGCAGTTGTGGTGTAGCTGTACTGAAATAACTAGACCAGAATTGAGGCTTCCGTGGCTGAATGGTCTAAGATTAAGCATTGTTGTTGTGCAGAAAGAACGTTCAAATGGATGGCCCTGTCAGCCTGTTTGCCAGAAAGAAACAGTTCCTGTACTGATAAGGCATGGTGGTACTACATCCATACATTCATTCATTGAATAGCAAGAGGCTGGTGGATTTCTTCTTCCTAATCCACTACCTTGGGTGGATTTACACATGCCCAGGCCTGAGGCTTTCTGTACCTGTGCTGCTTTAAGCATACAGAAAACCATTTGTGCGATGTTAAAAAGACGTGGTGGCGCTGTGGGCTAAACTGCAGAAGCCTGTGCTGCAAGGTCAGAAGACCAAGCAGTCATAAGATCGAATCCACGGGACAGAGTGAGTGTCCGTCGCTTGTCCCAGCTCCTGCCAACCTAGCGGTTCGAAAGCATGCAAATGCGAGTAGATAAATAGAGACCACCTCGGTGGGAAGGTAACAGCGTTCCGTGTCTAAGTCACACTGGCCATGTGACCACGGAAGATTGTCTTCGGGCAAACGCTGGCTCTATGGCTTGGAAACGGGGATGAGCACTGCCCCCTAGAGGCGAACACGACAGGACAAAAAAATTGTCAAGGGGAACCTTTACCTTTACCTTTTACTAAAAAGAAAAGTGTCATTAAGTGTTGTTAAATATACCATCACTGATCTCTGTGCAGTGTTATTCTAAGTTTGACACAAGAATGTGTTAAAGAACTGTTAAAATCCCAGGGACTTAGTTACCCATATGTCTAGAAATGTTTGCTAAAATCCAGATTGGTGCATGTGAATGCCTTTTTTGTCCCTACAGCAGTTTCCTCTGCAGTGCCAAGCCTTTTTGCTCCTCAAAAGCTCCCTTTCCAAGTCAGGGGCCAGCTGGAGATGCAGCTTATGAAATATAAGATGTGGCCATCAGAACAACATTTTGCCCCTTCTAAGTGCAGCAGTAGAAGGACTTTGGCACCAGTGTCGTGCATCATGGGAGGGGTGGTGGTCTTGGATCCTGCCCCAAGTGTTGTGCCCAGGAATTCCTCACATATACTCAGCTCTATAAACCTAAAATTCAGGCTTCAGATGCTGGCTGGTGCTTAGCTGCTGGAACAATTTCTTTCTGGACTGTAACTTATGTGGCGTTGAAATTATTCATGGTTTGAGGCACCTGAGCTCCATTTAGCTGATGTGATGGATTGTGCTTGCCGATGACTGACATGCTTGTCCTCCCTTTGCTAGATTGCCTATGCTGCGGTGGACTGTGCCAAAGAACAGAACCTAGACCTGTGTAAGCAAGAAGGTGTGGATGGTTACCCGACCTTCAACTACTACAATTACGGGAAATTTATAGAAAAATATAATGGAGACAGAGGGGTAAGTCCATGGCCGCAGACACTGGAAGAAAAATCACGTCCTTTGCTCTGGCGTCATCTGTGAGGAGTGCAAGCAAACACACACACACACAGAGTGGGTTTTTTTTTGCCAAGGTGTTTAATTCTTCCATTCCACAGTTCACAGGACTGTATCATCTCAGTGCATACTTTCCCGTGCATTTGTCAGCCAGGATGAACCCGGCCTGTGGAAAATGTTGGACCCTTTTATTTTGGAGCTTTGTTATTTACAAAAATTATCTGACTGGGTTTAGCATTAATGAAAATGAGAAAATCTGAAGGCCTGCCAGTCCTCTTTCTGGCGCTAGCCAAGGTAATGTAGAATCGGCTCTAGTGGGCTCTGTATATTCATTTGGAATCCATGCCTTCAGTTGCCCCTTTTGCATGGAAGGACATCTGTTTAGGATCCTCTAAGGTCTTCTTTCAACCTTACTACAGATAATATTGTGTGGAGATTCTGCAGGATCTGCACTGAACAGCAAACTTTGCAATGAATGCAGTGTGTTCCATTTGGATTTTATAACGAGGTTTTATCAGCCTAAATATAAATAGCAGCAAATGGATTTTAAACCCCAGCATCACTTTGACTTTATAAATGCATTTACAAAACTAAAAGGATTTTATGAAAGTGACATACCTCATTTGTTTGGCTGAGGAAGATAACCGAATGCGCATATGCTATTTCAAACAGCGCTCTGAGAAAAGAAAAAGAAAGAAAAATAAACGGGCTGCTTGTTCTAGTGTACAACTGTCCCTTTTCATTTCTTAACATCTGAATTAGCACACAGTGCCTCTCCATCTTGGTTCTTCCAATGACAAATGGAAGGCTGTCTTCCTCTATTAGACTGGAACATATCAGCTCACAGGAGAATACGGCAGCCAAGCACTTACTGGGAAATTGGAGATTCTGTAAATCCTTTCCTCAGTTTCAAAATATTTCCATTTATGATGAGCGTCCTGCCCTCCCATCTACCTCCTCCTCCTCCAGGGCCAGCCTCTTATACTCAGTGGTATTAGCGCTGGTGACAGTAACTCTGGGAATATATCGTCCATATAATACTATGTAGCTGTTTTACTGTCATCGTGCTCATACATCATAAGGCTGTATTAATTATGCTGCAAATAAGGATAACATCTTCCACTAGCTCTGCTACATTTTTAAAAAACTTTAGGCAGGGCTTCCTATATGCAATGAAAGAAAGGTCTCTGGGAGGCCTCAGTAGACTATGGCTCCCTGTTGGAATGATCCATTGGACGGGGAACCATGTTTGCTGAAATATTTACTTTCTAATTGTGCTTTTTCGGTCTGGATCTCTTTTCAAAACATTCCTGCAGCTTAAAAAATCATTGCCCATGGGGTGATGGCTGCTATCCAAAAGAACCAAACTCAATGGGTGTGTGACACTCAGTTTTTGTGCACTAACATTTCTTTGGAGTCCAGTCTCTCTGCCTACACCAGCCATCCCTAGCCTTGTTGCGCTCAAGGTGTTTTAGACTTCAGCTCCCGACAGCCAAAGCCGGTATGAGAAGGAGTTGGGAGCCCAAAACGTCCAGGCAGATCTGGGCAATTCTGTAGGCATCCTTCAGTCTCGAGAGACTATGGTATCGTGCTCTGTATGGAGGTCTTGGAACAGTGTCTAGTGTGGCTGAGAAGGCCAATTCGAGAATGACAATCCCTTCCACACTGGAGACAAATCCAATCTGTCCCCTGTCCTTCAATGGTTTTCCCTGCCAGAAGAATGAGAAGTTTTTTTTCTTTGACAGATCCCATGTCTGGCAATCTCGTCTCTTGCAGGGCAACAATGTTGATCCGCAGTCTACTAAGTTCAATGTCGATAACAGCTGTCTTGCGCACGTCTTCTATTTCCTGCAGGTTGTCAGAAAAGCCAGGGGTCATTGTCCGAACATTCCAGGTTCCCAACTTTAGGGCAGATGTTTTCTTCTGATTGTTGCATGATGCAGGGTTATTGATTTGTTTTTCAGCTCTCCACCATCAGAAGTAGCCCCTGGCATCATGCTCTATGCCAATCGAGCAAAACGTATAACCAGTAACTGCGAGTTCCTGTGTTATTTCGACACTGTATGCAAAGCTGGAGTGTCCTCTCCAGAGCACGAAGCCTGGGTAGAATAATATGGAGGATAGGCTGTTACCCAAGCAGCAAATCCCCCCTCTCCACGTCACTGAAATAGTCCAATGGAGAGGCAAGAGCCAATACAACTGGTTCCAGCAACGTCGCAGGAGTTGGCAGAACAACACGAACTGTCTACGGGACTCCGGCTTCGGATTTTGCCTCATCTCCTGAAGCCTTTTCCATCAGTGGATATAGCCACAAGGCAATGGAGGTTTGAAATCAGAGTTTTCCGTCTCCTAGATGGGCTGCCTTACATGGCTGATGAGTCCCACCTACGTCCAGGCAGATCTGGGCAATATAGGGCTCAAAACAGTACAAAGTCTACTCAGCTTGTTGTGAGGAAGAGCATTGTAATAGCAGCGCAGCAGCAGCAATGGTTGTTTATGCGTTACATATTTTGTTAAAGTGCGGAAAACAACATCACACACAGCTTCACTGGGCTGGATAATACATTTCGGATAACACTTGTAATAGCAGGTACATTGCTAATCAAAAGCTAGTTCTTCGGGGTGTTTACCAGAATCTCAAATTTCCCAAGTAGTGATGTGTAACATTCTAAATGAAAATTGACAGATGCAGCAGACAAAATAACGGTGGCTCCATTCCCACTACATCATGTGTCCAAATAGATCGGATGAGTTGTCAGGTCTAATCTAAAGCCCTCAGAAATTAATGGCAAAGCTACAGACTTCTGTGGTGTTTTGGCTCCAGTGCTCACTGTTTGAGGGCGTGACCTCATAATTTTGATCACTTGCAAAGCAGCATTATGGTGCTGATTAAGGGCAGAGTTGTTTGCTGCAGAATTGTCACAGATCAGACAAAATAACAGTCATGCACCATGGCTTGGAAATCTAGTGTGTTCCTTTTGAGGAACTGTGTTTTATGATGTGGTTAAGCCGTATTGTTATCTCATGGGAGATGAGGGAGCTTTTGTAAGACCCCTTTTTTAACCAATTAATTGAGATGAAATGTCTTCATTATAGTGATTTGTGCAATGCAGAAATGTTTGTGTGCAGTGGGAGGAGAGTTCCTGCCATCTCTGGTCCACCAGATTATTAGAAGGATGTAAGAATGAGGGGACAGAGTCAGGATCTGAATGGGTATCAAGCAGGAAAATGAGGGCAGCTGTGGCAGGGAGGAGTGCTCCATTTTGAGAGGACAGCAGACTGAGGAAAGTTGTGTGGGAAGTGTGAGCCAGGGAAGAGAAAAACAACTGCAACAGTATGTGTTCTGGTTCTTCCACACACACATATTAATTTGAAGTTCAGAAATGACAAGGTATTGACTTCTCATGCGCTCTCCTCAGTAGCTCCTAGGCCTGGAGGACATGTGTCCCTCCAGGTTGTATGGCTGCCAGTCCCGTCAGTCATAGCCAGCATAGATAAGTGATGATGGAAACTGTGATTCAAAGACACATATGGAACGCATTAAACTTAGTTTAATGCGTTTCAATAGGCTGCAAAACTCACCGTTCAGCGAGGTTGCTCCATTGTGGCAGCCATTTTTGCGCCCTCGGTAAGCGAGGGGAGGGCGCGAAAACGCTGCGCACGGCCATTTCGGGGCTTCTGGTGGCCATTTTGGAGCCGCCGAACAGCTGATCGGCGGCTCCAAAATGGCCGCCGGACGCGAAAACATCGCTGGAGGGGTAAGTTTCGACGCTTATTGGAACGCATTAAACTAAGTTTAATGCGTTCCAGTAGGCTTTCCTTACCCGCACAGCGATATTTTCATATAGCGAAGGTTAATCCGGAACGGATTAACCTGGCTATACGGGGCACCACTGTACATTGCCATCCCTGATTTTAGGTAATCAGAGTCCTAGAGACTGTGATTGAGGAAGATTTCCATTTGTGACCATTCACCATCTAAGTCATTGATCCCCTGATTTGGGTGGGGTGTGTGTGCTACAACTCCTAGAGGCCCTGAGCATTGGCTAAGTTGTCTCGGACTTCTGGGGGTTGTAGCTCAAGAACGTCTGAGCCCCCAAGTGTAGGAACCACTGATCTAAGTGCAAGGGCGCTCATTTTCTGCTCCTTTGGGTTCACTCTGTGGTGTCACCATGCTCCTTGACTTGTGTTTCAGTTTCAGGATGTAACCATTATTTTCTTTTTCCTTCTTGTGATCTGTGAAATTGTAGGAATCTGGATTTTCAACTTTCATGCGAACCCTCAGAGAACGAGACCATGAAAGGATAGGGAAGAGGAAAGATGAGCTGTAATTCCTGCCTCAAGAGACTATACTCACTGCACTGTGAACGGTCTCAGGACCACTGGTACAATGCCTGAGATGACACATCTTTTGAAAACAAAGACTTTGGGTTTTTTATAAGCAGCCATTGCCATTTTGTAGAACTTCAAAATAAAGTGAAATCATTTGATTTTTGAAGAACAATCAATGACATAATTGTTGCCATATTCTGTTATTGAGGAACAGGACGAGGAGAAGTAAAGTGTTTTCTCACCGTTCAAAGCACCTATATGTCCATCAATACTCCTATGCAATCTTTGTAACCTGTAGGTTTGATAGTGATTTCTTCTGACAATTTCTGTATTTTTAATTTTTGAAGAATATTAAATGTGAGGTAGCTTTTAAAAATGGGAGGGGGGGTCACGTTGCAGAGGGATCCATCAGGAGCCAGATCCATCAAGAAATAACTGAAACATAAATGCACTGTGAGGAGACTCTACGCAGAGCCTCTTCAACTGCATTTATATAGGGTATGTGTGCATGCCACTTATTTCAGGAACTAGATGTGATTAAGTGCACTTTTGATCCTTGCCAGTCTGAGTAGTGGGTGGATATCAGCCTGTACTGTCCCCCCAACCCCCCGCTCTGTGAGGGAAAGTCTGCGAGAACAAGGCAGGAGGCATGTGATCCGGATGGCAGATTTGCCACAAATACGTTGGCAAGAGAGGGAGGTACTTTCTCCTATAAACATGGCATGAGCTTCTGGTTGCCCTCAGCCATACCAAACTGGCAATATGGCAAGTGGTGACTTGGACGTGACAGACTTGCAAAAAGTTACACCTTTTTTTTTCCTAGAGAGATTTGGGGACTAATTTTTAAGGTGCTCAGGGATAATAGGGAAGCAGTGAAGAAGCATTGGCTCTTTCTGATCTTAAATGACTGTAGTGGTCTTTCTTTCTTTTTAATTGGCTGTACCTGAACTTACAGACAAATGGCTCTGTAGCTGGCACATATGAAGCACTGCAAATGACTCTCGGTGTGTGTGTTTGCATCCATGTTGTCCGAGGCTCCTGTAAGCATAGGAGTGATGTAAGTGCAAGCGTGAGGTTTTGCTTAACTTATGCTCTCTGACTGTTTGAACTCCGTCTTTGTGAAGCATTCCATTTGACTGTACTTGCAACAGAGGCATTGATATTTTTGATATGAAGAAACATCACACAGAAGTATTTGTTTATGTTCCCGAGGCTTGTCTTTGTGTGTGATAAATACAAAACTTTTTAAAAAGTCTTCTATAGAAGTAGGCCATACTTGTCAGATTATTTGTTTAGCCCTGTCAAAGAAACAAGAAATATGTTACTAGAAGTAGTTTTTACAAGTCCATAACTGTGTGTTGGTTCTGTGAGTTGAGGGTGATCTGGACATTGTGTCTTCATAGGGTTTATCACAAATTTTTTGTGTGATTTCCAATTGGATCAAAGGAATAAAAAATGCAAATATGCTTTAGCTACTCCCTTTATTCAACAAATGGTAGGGCACGCTGCTTGAAGTTCTGCTGGTGTTCAGAAAGTCTTCCCATTTCTACTGACTACCTGTGCCTTTTCCTGAAGAGTCAAACGTGTCTTTCCTCTGCTTCCATCTTTGTAGGGGCCCTGCAGGAAAGAACAAAAGCCTTTCCTTTTGTAGTTCTGTATTCCTGTTGGTTTGCCTGTTTCTCAGTGGGGGAGGGGTGTGCTAGTTTTTCTGACTCCTCGGCGCCATCTGGTGGAAGATGCAGTGCAGTCATGCAACTCTGGAGTGCTATGAAAAGCATGGAAACCAAACGGCAGCCTTTCTGCTGGAGGGGTGCTTCATGCCAGTCTATAACGGCAGACGGCGGCTTCCATGCACATGAGGTGGCGCAGCCATTTCAGCCAATGAGACTTGGTGTTCTGTGCAACGTTACAGATGATTTCCAGGTACAGGGGGGCTGTCACTGGACAGCTTCCGCAGGGATGGGTTCAGGTTCAGGAACGTCTGTTGGGACTTTTAAGGAAGATCGCCCCATTCCGAAAAGCCACAACTCCATCAAATGAAGGCTTTACTCCATAGCTATCCATGGGTTCCTTACATGTGAAAGCTGGATGTAACAAATCCAACAACTTGGCAGAAGTACCTGTTGCATGTGTGGGAAAGGGAAGGTGACAGGAGAGTTGTAGACTTTCTGTGTTATTATAGAGCAGCTGAAAAGTGGGTGGTCTTTCTCTTCCACAGGCATCTTCCAGATGCAGTTAAGATTGACTTAAGTGCCATTGACGCTTTGCCCCAGCCATTAAACTTCACGGGGCAAGTGCTGCATTTTAGCTGCGTATTTTTTTGGTACTGCCAGACTTTTAGGCTGCATTCTGACAAACTGTGTTTCCAGGGCATATCAGGAATCAGCTGCAGGCTGGTTCCTTCTGCCAGTCAGAATGGGTAGACTAGAGGACTATGTCAGTTAAACTAGGATGCTTGGCTTTGTGTCTCCTTTATAAGCCAGGATTGCAAATTAGGCTTCCTTTTTAGTTTATGATGCCTAGCTATTCATGAGCAACCAAGGCAAAAATGCCTGTGTTTCGCAGGCAGTGTGCTTGGTCATTCTAGTCATTCCAGGTGGTGGAAGGAGCCAAGTGGAAGCAAACTGGCTCTTTGTGTGAACACATGACTCATAGTCACCCAAGACTTACCCAGGAGCGGAAGTCCTGTATTTTTGTGGGCACTACCATTAAAATATATGTAGTGTGATAGGTTTTTTGCCTTGGTTGGAGTTCCATCAATGAAAGACTAGCTCTCAAGACAGTGGGGGGAGAATGGACAGGGGTTCCCAACCCACGTTTCATTCTCAATGCACTTCCTGCTTTTCTTTGGCCCTATTACTGCTTCTGTGTATTTGGCACCCATTAATCTGCTGGAGCCCCTACTATGTGTTTAATGAGTGATGATAGGCTGATTTGCCTTTTGTGGTAGGGAGCTTGTTAACCATAACATAAATCTAAGCAGTGGTAGCATGCCAAATGCATTCTTTTATTAGGCTCTGCATGAGCTTTCCTATTAGACAGACAATTAGCTGTCTGAAAAATTAACCATTTTCTTTCTCAGTCTCTATAGTCACCCATCTGTTACTCCTAAGCTATTGCAGGTATTCCTATTCCATTTTTGTCTACAGGCCTTTGCTGCTATGTTGACCTATATAAAGGGCTGTTAATGTATTGTTACCATTTCTGGACTTACTACACAAATATGTATGTGCGTTTTTAACTGTTCCTGTCAACCATCAGGAGCAACTTTCTTGTCTCCCCCTGCTTTTTTTGCTACTGTGACATATTATCTTATCTAGTTAGAGAACTGCATAGATGTAAAGGCAGTAAAAAGGGTCACTGAGGGCCCATGGTAGAGTAGAGCATGGCACAGAGCATCAAAGCACTGGGATCTTCTCAGCATGAGAGAAAAGGCTATAAAATCACCCCCCTTGTATACACTCCTTAGATTAATCCGTATTGGAACGGAGGCTGCAGTCGAAAAGTCTGTAGGTCGAGTCTCCATTGACCTGCAATGCATTGAAAACCAATTAATCCCATAACCGGCCGTTTTTGTTCTATTTTTGTTCCATTTTGGTTTTTTTCTGGTCTGTAGGTCGATTCTCCGGCTGCAAGTCAAGTCTAAATTTTGCAGCCAGTCTGTAACTCGAAAAGTCTGTAAATTGAGCAGTCTGTAAGTCGAGGGTCCACTGTAGTGTAGTCAAGGTGAATTGAGAATAACTAGTGCACCCTGTACCTTGTTAATAATCCTCAGCTAGTTGCCATAACTTCCACTTGTGTACACAAAAGAGACAAAAATGGATTCTGGCTCTAATGTTAAGAGCTGTTCAGCAGTGAAACTATCTTGAGAGATCACCTGTAGCTCTTTGAGCGAAACTCAGTGCTGGATATATATCTGAAACAGGTACGATGTAATTATATCTTAAATTACCAGTCCTGGATTGAGTAGTAACTTGGATCAGATCTCTAATTTGGGGCTTCCTACAACCTATGAAGCTAAAGGAAACTTTGTAAGCTTAATTAAAAGCAAGCTTAACAAATACTCTAGGAATACGGGGTAAAGGATTGGGTGTGTATGTCTAATTTGACATGGGTATTATATTACTGGTACATAAGGCTGTTGGGGCAAAAGGTAGCATACTTGTTTTGGAGTACAGCTTGAAAAAAATTAAGTCAAATTGACTGGAGGCTATGGCAAAATCTACAACATGAGTACACAAAAACAATTCCATTCTACTGCCTCTAAGCAGCTAAGATGCTCTCAGATATCACTGAAATGGGTGCCACCTTTGGCCTCTTTGAAGATGCTTCATTTTCATTGTCAAAGTCACCATGATGTTCTTCTGTGCCCTAAAAACTTTGGGGTCGGTTTCAGGCACAAGGTAAGTCTCACACCAATGGAAATGCATTAAGAAGCAATACTCAACAGGTCAATATGCACCAGACAAAAAAGCCTCACCATGTACCATATCTGGATTATAGGTAACTGGCTTTGTAGTCATCTAATTCAGTTGTGACAAGTAACATTATAAATATTAAATTGTTTCCATTCAGTGATTACTTATAGCAGAATTTTTTGTAATATTTGAATTAACAAAGGATTCCTATGTTTTTGGAACATAATCACAAAAATCTTCTTTGTGCCCTGATGATAAGTACTTGGGGAACTGCTTTAGAGTTTCTTTTATGTAAGTAGTAAGTAGTATATGAATATTATTAAATAAAAGAAACAGTAGGGTTGGTAAATCAGCAACCATTACACTGAATCAATTAGAATTTAATCATCCTTGCTAGAATAAAAGACTGTTGTGTTCCTTTTAAAATGAAGCATTCCATACATGTGCAGAGGCACACAACTTAAACATATTTCTTCAAAATGCTTCTTCCTTTAAAAAAATATCAAATCTCCATTTTAAAAAAACATGTTTTCATCTGCAGAAAAGCCCTTAAATTTTCTCTAGATGGCATTAGTGTGTGTGTATGTAAACAAGTGCTATGAAGGAAAATGTCTCATGTGAAAACAAATACTAATTTTTATTTTCTTTATCTTTAATGGTAGGTCTCTGTAGGTTTGTAATAACTAGCAATGAAACAAATTTAACTTCGTATGCCAAATTCTTTCCAATTAGATTCCATGAACACCCACATACACCAC